GGTCGCTTACGTCAGAGGAGAGGAAGAAAGGGATGAACCAGACGGGACGAAGACGGCGGGAGGAAGTGATGAGGGTTGGAGGTTTGGGGATTGGGGATTTTTTTAATTTTTTATTATTAATTGGGAAAAAAATTAAAAAAAATTAATAATTAAAAAAAATTATTATTTAATAATGTGGCAAAACGAAACAAGATCCTAACATGAGAACGACCACGAAGTCACACGGCTCGAAGGGGTTGACTAGGGGATAAAATATTTCGGGATGATCAACTTTTGGATGTGGACTAATCATATGCCTCCATCATACTCATTAACGACAATGGTGAATGTTACTCGCCATGGTATGAGGGATCTATCACACAAGAAAAAGACGATCGGCACAAATTTCACATGGCTACCTAATTACCCAATCATCTATTCTAATTTCCCAAATTTCTATGCATGACAATTGTAATCGAAGAGTAATCAAGTCAAGACATCCATTCATTTCCGCACGCATGAGAACTAAACATTCGCACCAACTTAATGCAATTCTCAATCATCATAATAGGATGTACTCGATCACAAGATCCTCCAACTACCGGCCACAATGAACGAGCAATGTTTGGAGCCCACAAATTTTAAAAATTTGGGCATACATCAAGGCTTCAGGCAATCAATCACACGCACAAGCATAATAGACAGACTACCCCCCACACTTAAGCTCGACATTGCCCTCAATGGCGTAAAATAAGGGGTAGAATGATGTTACCGCATAACTTGGCGAGTGAAAGTCGGGACCGAATTTGTCCGGAGATGAAGAGGAGAGAGCTTCTCATGGGAACAAACACAAAAACACAAACATATTCTCGCACAAGGCGAGGTTATTCCATAATAATATTACTTAGCGTAAAATAAACACAAACCTTCGTTGGGTTGCCTCCTAACAAGCTCTACTTTTACTTCCTAAGCTAGACTGTTGCTCCTCAAGCTTCGGTACGTCCAAGAACCTCCTTGAAATTGAGTTTCTCGTCGGTGAGGTGATGTCTCAAGTCACGAGCATTGGACGAGTCCATGATTGAGGGCTCGTTAACTTGATCGGCTTTGAGGCTCCACCCACGAGACCCATTCTTCTTTTTTTCTCTTTGCCCCACACCATGTTGTCCATCATCGATTGACTTCCATCGCATCTGCCAAGAGGGATCACAGATGGTTTGTCCTTGGCTTGGCAAACAGCCGCAAATGTGTCCTTCTCCTAAAGTGCATCAAGGCCGGGTGGAAAGCTTTCATAGCACTTGTAACTTGTGGATGCTTCATCCACCTCGACCTCGTCCTCATCTTGAACATCATTTTCTCCTTCTTCTTCTTCTTCTTCTTCTTCTTCTTCTTCTTCTTCTTCTTCTTCTTCTTCTTCTTCTTCTTCTTCTTCCTCCTCAACCTCCCTTCCTTCATCTTCAATCTCCACCATATAGTCTAGTTTAGCCGTAAGCGTGTTTTCACCGTCAATTTGGACGGTCAATAACTATGACTAACAGTCAACGCTCTAAACCTCAAGTGAATCATCCTACTTTTTCGACGTGGATGCCACATAGACATCAAAAAATAATAAAAAACTCAATAACTCAATGAAATTAAAAAATTTAATTATTATATAATATTTTTATTATTATTTCAAACCACCAAATTAAAATCCATTATTGTTTCTGACGTGGATCCTTAGTCATCTTCACTCCTCCTTTACCATCCAGATTGGAAAGACACAACAAAAACCTTCCTCCTTTACCATCCAAATCCCCAATCAACTAGAGCAAATCTCAAATCCCTGGTCATCTTCTATCCGTCGACCAAGCCACCCACCTCCATTCCAACCACACCCCTTAATTACTCGGCATGTCCCCCACTTCCCCTCTCTCACTCAACTCTGCCAGCATCGGTATCATTGGCATCCTCGACATCGGGATCTGGTCGCTCCACCCAGCTATTACGATGCTATCTGCGACCACTGACAAAATTCTTGCAACCGACGCTACAGTCCCACGAACTGAGATCCGAAACCCGTGTTGCAGTCTCAGCCTCTCAAAGCTCCCTCTTCTGGTTCCCCTGCAATTCTTGCTCCCTTTGTTTCCCCTACAACTTTCCCAATGTTGACCCCACCGCCATCCCTACCTTCATCCCCATAAACTCATCCACTGCCATGCTCCAAGGATGCAAACCCCCAAAATTTCGGATGAGTCCCGGTTTTGCAGGCTGGGTTTTGAGGTCAAAGAAGAAGGAGTTGCAGATCGGGAATAAGAGGTGGTGTGTTTTTGGTCAGGCCATTTTGTTTGAGAGAAAGAGGAAGAGGCAAAGTGAGGAGGAAGAATGATGCTCTAGTTGTTGATCTTTCCTATCAAATAAGATGGAGAGTAAAAGTTTGTCTCTCTGATCTGAAGGAGAGAAGATGATTAGGGATTTGGATGGCAGAGGAGGAATGTTTTTGTTTGTTTGGTGTTTTGAAAAATAATGAAAAAATATTATCTTTTTAATTTCATTGAGTTATTGATTTTTTTATTAATTTTTGTTTTCTACGTGTTATCCACGTCAGAAAAGTAGGATGATTCACTTGGGGTCTGGAGCATTGACCGTCTTAATTGACGGTCAAAACACGCATCCGACCAAACTAGACTATATGATGTATAGTTGAGACCAGGATAGCAATTTCTGAAACCACGGGCCAAAGTTAATTATTTGGGTATAGTTCGGGCCAAAATAAGGTATTAACCCAAAAAAATTATTCAAATTTTTTAGGAATTTTTTCCTTCTCCTCATGTTTACTGTTCCAAGAGTAATTTTTGTGTCGTTTGGAGAATTTGACTTTAAATCTCTAGATTCCAAAACAATCTAAAGATTTTAATATTCCGGATTGTTGAAATAGATGGGATTTAAAAATATTCATTGTTTGATAACTGCGATTGATAACCGTGAATACCAGATATTTGATATCTCTATATTTAGAAATTTGAACTCTTTGAAATTAAAATCAACTATACAAAAACACAAGAAAACATAAATATCTAGTAAATTTATCGATTCAATGAATCCATCCGCTAAATCCTGTTTACAAACGACCACCTTTTATGAAAATAATGGATTGAAATGACAATTTCTTTAAAAGTTGAATTTCCTATTTAATGGTTAGAAGTAAAATAGCAGTATTAAATGTTGTAAGAATCAAGTCTCTTGTCTCGTTAGATGACCAAACACTTACTTCACGTCATATTTGCGTCATTCACGCCATATTGGCCTTATTCACGCAGCCAATATTGTTTAGTCACACAACCTAGTGTTGATTCACGCATATTGCTATTTATTCACACCATTGTAAATTAAATTTTGAACTTTGAAATATATCAAGATGGATGTCATTGTATAGATTATGATCAATGCAACACATTTTTACAGATTAATTGTGAATCTAAATTTAATTCCATAAAATATAGGCAATACAAATTATTAGAGGAAAAAGTCAGAATTTTCATTTACGTGAGTAACTGACACTCTTACGTGAATAAGCACCAAATGGCGTGTATGAGCACAAACATATATGAATAAATTGACATAGGTGTTTTGTCACCTAACGTGACAAGAGAATTTTTTTATGTTGTAATTCATAATACATGAGGTTGTTTGTTTTCCCGGATTGTTGTAATAAAAGTGTTACAATTTTTGAATTCTTTATAAAACTTTATTATATTTTTATGAACACAATGCATGTTTTGTTTGATTGATGTAATAGAAAATCTCAACTTTTATTTGAGAGTATTATTTTTTATATCATTTAAAAAGTAAATTTTGTTTTAAAATGACTTTTTTTCATTATTGAATTTTTTTTGCAGATGTTAAACATTATAATCTTAAGAAGAAGAAGAAGAAGAAGAAGAAGAAGAAGAAGAAGAAGAAGAAGAAGAAGAAGAAGAAGAAGAAGAAGAAGAAGAAGAAGAAGAAGGGCATCGACCCATTAGCTTGGCTACTTGTTTCAGCAAGAAGAAGAAGAAGAAGAAGAAGAAGAAGAAGGAAAGGCACGAGTTGTGCGGTGAAGGGCATCGACCCATTAGCTTGGCTACTTGTTTCAGCGAGATGGTCATTCTTTTATATATGAAACGTGGGTACGCTTTATTGGTCTCTACTGTTTCACTATTTGTCGGCTAGTGAAGGAAGACAAACTATCCTATTTTGCCTTGATAACACACTCGCTCCATTTCTCTCCACTGGCATCCCTTCACGGCTTCACCCCATGAATTGTACCTCCTCTGACTCTAGAACTGTCTTCTCACCCATTCCCCAAGGCCCAAATCTCCCCTACACCCCAAATCTCGCCATCTTGGTGTGCTTCTCGGTTCTTGATAGTATAACCACTTCAGCATGCGACCCTCTTCAGCACGCGACCCTCTTCAACACTCCAACGAGGAAGCAACCTCTGCCTGCCATTCTTCTTTCCCAACACTCAATCCTCACTCAATAAATCTGGACAAACCCCCGCCCTCGAGCACTCTTTCTCTCCAACGAAGACAATTTTCATCCCTGAAATGGACTGCTAAAAGTCGGCCCTACTGCCCCCAGCTCTCTCGGCTTCATCAATCATCATCGGCGACTGCGTATAAGGTCCGTTTGACCAGAAGGTGACGGCGGCTAGATCTCAAGCCATTGTCGAAGGTAGCATAACGGATCAACATTCACTGTCATTGTTGTGGACCTCCCGCGACCCGTAAAAAACGAAGAAAATCTACTCCTCCCCGCCCTCCTCTTCCAATGCATATGACATAACCGCCACTGTCGACCCGATCCTCAAAGCAGCAGTGAAGCCGAAGGCGCAAACTGCTCATGGGATGCTTATGTTGGCAGTCGTGAAGGAGATGGTGCGCTCAACAGATGGAGAAGAAGTATAGAGTAGAACTCTTTGACGTCAGCCCTCAATTTACCTGAAGCCACCGACGGTGAAAGCGAGAGAAAGAGGGAGAGAACCAACCAACCATCTGCATAAATTTATGTTCTTTTCGAGTTTGAATCTTCGTTTTCTAGAATTTGGTGAGCTACAGTTCAGGTTTCTAAATTTTAGTTGGGTAATTGAGTTTCCAGGTAAAGTAGGAATCTTTGGATCTGAGTGTGGTTCAATTCTCTCAACAGTCAGCACAACGACGACTTTGATGACATGTGTTCCTTCTCAATCTAAGAAGCTTCACATCAAATTTTTGGCCTTCTAAAGTTTTGCGACTCTCAGAAGCAAACCATGAGTTGGGAGAACATGGGGTTCGACCAATATTTGAAGAGTGCGGTGTTACGAAAATGTACTTTGCTCCTTTGTATTGGCTGCTTCTGCGCGGTATCCTCTTCTCGGACAGGTACACTTTTTCTTTCTTTGGAATTGAAGGTTGCTGCTAATTCTGAATTTGGCATCTCACCGAAGTCGGAAACCATAGTCCTGGTAGTTTTTTTCTTCAATGTAAGGGAGGTCTATGTCAATGAGAAATGCAGTCCTGGTAGCTTTGAATCATGTTTATGTTTCTAAATTTAGTATGCTAAGCTACATGATTTGGAAGGCCTTGCTTTCATCTCTTTACTGTCTCAAATTGATGAACTCGCAGGTTAGTAAGCCGAAAGCAAGTGAGGTTGGTGAAAGTGCATAACTAATTAAAAACTAAAGACAATGCAAATAAACAAAAGGAAATAACTTCAGGTTAGTAAACCGGCAGCAAATGAACTGTTGTATTTATTCTGCTTTTGTGATGTAAGATACCCATGACACATCTCTTCATTCCGTTCGTGTTTCTGCCTACTTGCTTTACCATTAAGCTTTGTTGTCATATTATAGCGTTTTTACTCTCTTTGAATAAAGAAGACAAGGGTGATATATACCATATCAAAGTTCATTCCGGTAAGTTGGCGTTCATGATGAAAGAAATGCAAGAAAGAAATTAGCTAGAGGCACCTTGGCATATTTGGTAAACTTAACTTACATCAATATATAGTTCTAGGAGTATCTCACCCTTTCGTTGCCCTCAGATGTAGTTCTCTACAAACGTTGCCACTTTTGGTAGTTTTCCTTCATTCTGCCAACCTGCCCGAGTTGCCTTCCTCCCCCCCCCCCCCCACTATAGTACTAGGTTTTCGGTAAACAGAGGTTTCTATAGGTATACAGTGTACCAATGTAGTCAAAATCACGCTTTAAAACTTTAAAACTTACGATTTTACATTTTTAGGTCACTAAAATGCTTCTATACAAAATCTCAGTTTTTATAACTTATGTAGTTAAAAACTCCTCTTTAAAACTTAAAAACTCACGATTTTACGCTTCTAGATCACCAAAACGTTTATACGTAGAAACTCGCTTTTGACTACATTGCAGTGTACCAAAATGTCTCGAGCAAGTCTTTGTGAAGGTAATAATCATGTTTATCACCTATAAATAGGTTTAACCAGAGTACCTGAAATGCACAAGAGTATCCTAACGAGTTCCCTACAGTTTTGTAAGGGGGAGGGTTGAAGATCAGGTTTCTAATGATCATTTCTCTTACCTCATCATTACCTCTGAATGTGATCTTTACTTAATGGAATCAATCAACAATTATACACTCATTGTTAAGTAAGAGTTGCTGCATTTTAGGACCGAATTGACAGTGTTCGGTTGTGATTTGATTATCTAGAAAATTATATTTTAACTGCTTTTAGATGGCTTGCATTCAACTTGGTTTTGTTGCGATCGGAACATTTCACTGATTGTTGTCACCAACCTACTCTCAATATGTTCTTCCCACAGGTTTTCGGTGATCCATGGGATTGAGAAGGTAGCTTACACACTTATTAAGGACCAGTAAATCAGCTAGGTCCTTTCTTCTGCCTTTTGCTACAAGGATCTCATTCTTATTCTCCTTATTTTCCTCAGCAACAATCCGAGTAGAAAATAAACCAATCTAATCGACAAGGTAGTTCTTTCATCTTTTCCCAACTCTCTAGACCCATCAAGATGTCATCTTATGATCCAAACTCTCCAAGAGTAACAAGAAGGAGCAAAGAAGATTCTGAAGGAAAGCAATTACAGTTACCTCCAAAGAAGGCCCAAGAATAAGGCTGCAGAGTGGAAGGAACTCAATCGGATGATAAAGAAGCTTGAAGGATTTTTTCCAGTCACTACTCACAAAGGGTCATGCTATTGGTAGTATTTTGATAGAGTGAATTGTGTCTGAAGCAAAAACCTTGAGCAGGTGAGACAAAGAACTGGTGACTGCAGCTATAAACATGGACAGTAGCATCAACAAGTGCGAAAATGAAGTGGTGAAGTGCAGTTAGGTAGTTTTGTTATGCCTACAAGATAACTGAGGGATGGAGCTTCCACATTAGAAGTTATTTACAAAATTAATTCAGCCCAACCTCTGCCTTCATTGAATCATCAGAGTTTTATCACACCACGAATTTTGAGGGTGTTACTGGCATTACCAAGAGCAGGAGGAAAATGTAACTAAGAGCATTGAGGTGTAACTGGATACAGTTGGACAGTGGCAGTTTATAAGTTGGCAACCTTGTTGTGTCTGGCTTATCCATTAGAGAACGATAGATTATCAGGTCTTTGCTTATCAAATTTACCATTCATTTTTCTTATATAGGCATGTTCGTTAATCTAAATGATTGTTCTCACCGTCATTAGTATACTTTTCAATGTTTTGTGACAGCTTCTATTTTGTTTTTCTAAGCATAATTATTTGTATAATGATGACAATGCCATTTTCCAAGCATAATGTTTTGTGGCAGCTTCTATTTTGTTATTGCTACAGATCTTAAGTTCTCCTTTCAAAAACTCACTTCCTCATATCATGATGGGCATGCTCTACCTTTGACAAGTTGAGGCATATTGTTGAAAATTCTCTTGACGATGTTTTCATTGTGATATTTGCTCCTTCCATTGCAAGTCATGAACACACCATAAACCAAAATTACCTTAACCCTGGTGACAACCTCCTCACTTATAAAATGATATTGCTGCAACTTAAATCCCCGCGGCGTAGCCGTGGGTATTGATTCTAGTTAGTCTAAAGGGGAGCAGTTAGCAAGCCGAGAACGGGAAAGGGAACGAGAACAGGAAAGAGAGGGCATCACTCGGTGTCCAGCACAGGGCCCAAACAGTATAACTAAAACAAAAGTATGTCCTACTAACCTGGGGGAGCTGCGGCATTTTATCAATGGTTGTCGCTTCCAAGCAAGGAGTCGGGGCTCTCTCCGAATCATAATCATATTTCTTGTTAAGATTATTAGCCGCCGCATGCACCTGTCTGGTAATTGATTGTTGAACGATGATGCCAATGATCCTACCATTAAGGGGTTGAAATCTTAAACTGTATGTTTGATACATAATATAATCTACCCTTTTAATCATAATAGCCTATTCTGTCATGTAAAATTCGAGGGTGAGTGATCACATTCATAGGTAAAATTCAAGGGTGAGTGAGTGATCACATTCATCCGTGCAGATTATTGTTAGTGGTTAGTACGTATCAACAACTACCCCATTCTAGGCCAAGTTTAATCCAAGATGACATTGTCCTGTAGTGGCAATCAAAGTCGTATTCTACTCGGGTCCTGGTACCCTAGCATACTCCCCACCTCGTTGTTATTTAGTCGATCGATTTGAGGATTTTGTGTGGAGGCTTTGAGTGAATCAACTAGTCTAGAGATTGAATAAAGATAAAAGCAGGTACTTCAGGAAACTATCCCTCACCCTAGTGCAGGGCTATTATGTAATGTCTAGATACTTAGGGTTTATCGAATGTGGTGAGTGGGTTCTTTTCCGTGGACTTTCGTGGTTATCCACACGCCTCCGAGTATGCCACCCCTAGACCCATATATAGTCACCTTGATCTAGATTATCGTATCTCGGGCATTAAGCTCGTAGCTCCATTCGATGGGTACTACCAACCGTCCACATCGAGGATTCATCCCGGGTTTTGTCTAGAAAGGCTACCTATGGCAGGGGTTCGGTCACCTCGACCACCTAAGATCCCTATTGATACATCTAAGCTCGATTTTCTTGATGGCACATATCCGTCTAACTCTCAAACTCCAAACCCAACGTAGAAGCATAAGTAGGCTAGTAGAGAAGATTAGGGCGACTAGCCCAAACACAATCAAAGATATAATAGTAATAAAATCAACTAGATAAACACATTCATTCATTCAAACCCTAAAATATCAATACATACAAAGTAAAACCTAAAACTAGGGTGGGGTTTAGAACCCCTAGTACCTTAGAGGACTACTCCATAAAGGAGGGAATAAGATACATAGAAGAAATTGAAGAAATCTTGAGGTTGAGGAAGATACCTCATCTCTTCTAGCTCCTTCTCCTTCTTCTTCTATTCTCCTTCCTCATCTTCTCTCTCTTCTCTCTCTAAAACCAGAAATTCTATCTCAAAATAAGCTCTCTAAATGAGGGGGAAGGGGTCTTCTATTTATAGGCAATCAGAGGACGGAGAAGTTCCCGCCCGCAATCTTGCGACGCTGCTGGTTTGGTCTTCAGGGACGAGGAGATCAAGGGCTGACTTCGCGGTTACAATCCATGAGTAGCGGTCGCGATCCATGAGTGGCGGTCATGATCTTCCTCGCGGTCACTTTACACTGCGGTCGTGATCCAACCGAGAAAACTCTTTGTTTCTCCATGGCTCCTTCTTCACAAAGTTCGCGCCTGAGCCCTCCAATTTGCGACCATAACTTTGGGATTCCAGGCTGCAATATTTAGCTCTACTTCGCGGTCCATTATCTTGGCCGTGATCTTCACTTCTAGGCCACGATCTTCGATCTTCTGCCACCTTGCTACACTTGTGACCTTGTTTTGTACCTAATTCGCATGTATCATCATAAGCACCCTAAAATCACATCGAATTCAAATATGAAGAAAATAGGGATGCAATTGACGATGTTCAAGCAATTATGCACATGAATTGGCACGAAACAAACCTTAATATGAAGGGTAAATAAAACTAATTTAGGTGTTATCAAACTTCCCCACACTTAGGCGTTTGCTTGTCCCCAAGCAAACTTAGTCAAACCGAATGCAACATGATAAACAAATTAATGGAGAATGCACTCTAGTTCTTCATTGCATAAAGAATAGTAGACGGAGACATATAAATGTTTCTATCATCTTACTGTGCAAGCACAAAATCTTGGGTGAGGACCATATTTACTACCTTAGGACTGAACAGTCAAGGTGTGCTCCGAGGGATTTCTCAAACAACAATAAGCACATGAACTCTCGAAGGTGCTCTTTAGTTTTTCTTAAGATTAGCTAGGTGTTGTTGTTTATTGGTCTCCTTTTTTGACATTCACGCACATTGCACCAAGCTTTTGCGATTCTTTTGCAAACAAGCATCTCTCCCTCATGACCAAGAACAGATGAACCATAGCCTTCCCTTTCAAGGTCACATGTGGGGATGTTGATGGGTGGATACGTCTTAGCCCTAGCACCACTTCCCAGCTTGCATTCCACATTGGGTTGCCACACATGTTGGGTACAAACGAGAGCATGAGGTCTCATGAATCGCTAAAAGATACTTTGGACCTTGGCATACGATTTTGTGAGAAGGAAAGATACTTGGGGGATGGTAAGTAGTGAAGATGGGCGGGATGCGGTAAAGCTATCCGATCCCCAAGCATATCCTCAAAGGGGACTCTTAATTCGTAAGGTTGGTTGCATCTCACGTGATAACCTC